AGTCATAATGAGGGTCTATGACTCGCAAATCCAAGGGGTTATTGCAACGTGTATGGCTATGAAATCCGCAAAGGAGCTTGCGATAAGTATGGTTTCACCTGCACCAGGAAAGGCAGTGAAGCGCTTGGAGTGGATTACAGCATCTTGGTCAAGCCAGCTTCTTACCACTGTGCGAGTTGATCTGAGTATGGCAGTCACAGTACTTGGCCTTGCACGAGACCGCTGCAGGGCAGAAAAGCGGCGTCCTAAAGTCCTAAAGCGAAGTAGAGGCTAAAAAGCAGACAGTTGCTAATCAGTGAATGTGTTTGAAGTGTTCATGGCTCCAACGTACACCTGGCTCTCATGGTCCACCTCTCTCCTCTCAAGTTCTTTTGATTTTGACCGATGGTGCCGGACGAGGCTCTCGCGTTTCTGTTTTTTTGGGTCGGACTCACCAAGCCGCGCGCGTTTCCATTGCAAACCGGACCGAGCCATGCCTGTCCGTCTTGCTATCCTCCCATGACATACCTTCGTCGGACGGCTACCACGGGCGAGGTTGTATGATGAGGGGTTGATCTCATGTCTTCTTGGGGTTTAACATATGAGTTAATTACATAGCCTGGTTGGGGGTTTGAAAACAGGACGAGCCTTCAGAATCTATGTGAGTGCGTGTGTGTGTTTTTTTTTTCCAGGGAGACCTCCCAGGGCATGGTATTAAAATACACACCCAAAGGGGCAGAGTCAAAGATCAAGCATCCCTCTGCCGCGACTGTCATAAGCCGCATAAGCCTGCACCATGCTGCTCCGGATGTTCCAGAATTCTTGAAGACGACCCGTGAGCGTTCACCGCGCGCGAACGCGACCGACCGAGGGAAGCTTCACCTGACGTTGCGCTCGGGGCCGCTGGAGCGACCCACGCGCTTCGTGGCGGACGCTTCAAGGAGGGGAGTCGCAGAGCTACGCAGAGCCGGGCAGAAGGACTTCATGGGCAACAGATGTTTGAGTGTTTTGAGTGGAACATGTTCTCCCTGCAACTTGCATTTGATATTTATTTTAACTTCGCAAGGGCAACATCTCCGACCTTGGACCTGAAATGCATTTGGTTGCTAACACAAACACAGTCATTCTCTTCAAGAACAGCGGTCACCATAGCAACAACTTGCTGCTGCAGCTTTCGACATCAAATCACACAAGCATACTTCTTGAATCTTCTTCAAGGATTTCAAGCTGTGGGTTCAAAGCTTCAGCTCCTGGGCCTGGGTGCTTATTGTGGCTGTTCTTTACATTGTTCACTTCTCCGCTACTCAGAAGCGATCTCACATTGAAGGATCTCACATTGTCAGTTCACTGCCCTTCCATTGATGCGAAGCAGGCCAGCCAATCTGGATGCTTTCTCGGACATCTCCATGGAGGCCTCAGGAAAGAGACAGGTCATGGTGGTCAGTAGCTTTCTCCATAGGGGATGACGCTCTCCCCCAGCAAACAATAGACATTCTCCACACTAGGTGGGGGACCGGCAACCACAATTCGGTTTTACAGGTGTTGATGCTAAAAGGTAGGACAACTCCTGAGCAAAGGTTGAGGCATGTTCACTTTTCCATCGAGCTCGTCACTGATTTCATCCACGAAACACGGAACACGACACCTCCTCCGCGCCGTCTTCCCCCGCGCGGGGTCGACAGGCATGGCTGGTGGGTGAGGTGGTGATGATGTCCAATTGGGCGGTCTACGTCAAGGCACCGAGCCAAGGAGCTGTTCCAAGTCCGTAAGAAATGGATGTTGAGCGAAAAAACAAGGGAGACCTCCCAGGTGTGGTAACCATCCACTGGAAGGGTTCGGAAAATAGAAAAGAAGACAAAGCAGCCAGGGTCCAAATTGATCACCAGCGAAGATAAACGTGTCCAGAACAGTCAGATGAGCCGGAAGAGTCAGATGTTTCAAGCGCCGAGCTGCTGGCAAAGGGCGTTTCAAGCTCGGAGCTTCGCAGGTCCAGCGCGGGGAGGAGTCGTTCGTGGGGATCTTGGAGCTGGAGGAGTTCTCCAAAGACTTCGCCCAGGATGGGGAGATGTTGAGGGAAGACGAAGATCTACTGGTAGCAGTTGAAGAGTTTGAAAAGATGTTTATTCCCCAAACAGTGTGGACACACTTAGGGGTTCTTACAGTGAGGAAAAAGCAGCTGTGCTTAGATCGGTGTGCCGCGCTGGCGTGTGCGGCTAATTCGCTGCTATTTACAGTACATTCATGCCTCTTGAAATCCTCGAAGTGCAATCGACTGCCCAGGCTCGCTGAATCTGTGTGTCTGCGGCGGGTGCTTCCAACGACTGCGCTCTCGTTGTGGTGCCGTGCGCATTTTTGCATATGGTGGTCATTTTTCGTGGCAGGTTCAAGGGAAACCTCGTGCTTTGGTGCTTCAAGTTCGACTTTTCGTGACAGGTGCAAGGGATCGGAGCTGTTTTACTTCGAACTGCAGTTTTCTTGGCAGGTGCAGCACTTTGGACATGGTGGTGATTGTCGAGGAGCTCAGATTTCGCGACAGGCGCAGTGAATCGTGACTTTTGGACACGTGGCTCGTTTGCAGACTTCATAACAGGCACAGCACTGTGACCCTCGATGTGCAGAGTTCGTGGCAGGTGCAGCACTTTGTGATCCTCGAAGTTCGAAGTGCAGATTTCCAATGCGTCTAGATCTCTAGACTTTCTGTTTATACACCTCACACACACACACACACTGTTTGGGGTCTCTTGCCGGGGTTATTTTTTCTAGATGTTTTCCGTTCTGCTTTGCCTTTTGGAGTAGCACAAAACATTTTCACTGTCCACTCTCACCTTGGCTTTGTGGTGGCATTGAGGTGACTGAACACTCACAAAACCCACACAGATTGTCTCAGAAAATACATCTGTCACGTTGGTGAGCAGTTAGACAATCACTGCAAGAAAAAACATCTTGGACCACTGGTCGTTCTTGGAACATTGAAGACTGGCACACGCCAGGTGGCTATACGTGGCTGTGAGGTGCAGGTTCGCATCAAAGAGGCCGAACCAAAATGGTTGACGACCTGCCACCGTGACGACCTGCGGCGTTGAGTCATTTGCAAATAGGGTCATCGTTATGTAATGTGGTTAAATGTTCATGCCAGCCGCTCCCTTCTGACATGAACATGCATGAACCAATGCATGAACACAGGTCGTAAGATAAAACCTTCCTTTTTCACGGTTTTGAGGGTTCATGGTAGTGAAACTTACTAAATATATACGCTTCATGGGTGGTGGAAAGGCTGGGCAACTCATCGAATCCAATGTGGAACTCACTTTTCGGAACGAGTACCCGTCACTGGTGGGTGAACCAAAGCCTTGCAGTATGGAATCTTTGATATAACACTACCAACACCACCCAAAGGGTGGTTTATAAACCCCCCTGACTATCTATTTTCCACCTAATAACCACCCTTGGGGTGGTGCTGGTATAATACAATAAATAACTTCCACTTTGACGCGTATTTTAGACCAGACTCTTCTCAAAGGAGGCTCATCCTCCGGCAGGTGGACCTCGAAAGCCGCCGGCTCTTGCTGACCATGCGGCACATGGACGCCGATTCCGCCAGCGAACAACGGAGAGCGCCGGCGGCCGGCGCGTTCGTCCACCCTGAGGACTCGTAGGTAGGTGCTGGACTCGACGGTATACGGGAGAACTGGAACAAGACCCCGGAGAACGCACAGATTCCAACAGTACTGATATGTACTGATATTTTATACATGTTTCATACCAAGACCACGATCACGGGGTCAATTTGGATCCTAAGAGGCCTCCCCAGAAACAGCGACCCCAAGTGATGAGCTGCTTCTGACGTGCATCTGTGAGCTCAAGCCGTTCTTCCGCTGAGCCAAATGGAGGGGAAGGCTGAGTGACGAACGGAAGTGCGGAGGATGTGAGTTGGGTGTGGGGGAGTCTTTGGAGAGGGAGGGGCCAAGACTTCATGTCTTTACAATCGACGCAAGTGAAGCGCAGCCATCCTCGAAAAACATCCATCCAGGACGCAGTGGCCATCCGCATAGGAGATTCCTCGCATCCGCCGGAAGACAGAGAGATTCGTTTGATTGCTTCTTGTTTTGCTGGAACATGGATGGGGGGGCAGGTGTGAACCAATTCAGCACCAATCCCCGAGGCAAGAAGCGTGCAATTGGAGTTGGTGACATGATTCCCCTCCAAGACATCACAGGGAGTATGTAATTCTTCACTCTGGAAGGAGGATCACCAGTCGAAATGAGTCGAAATGAGTCTAACGTCTTCTTTCATTCCTGAGGCCCTCGATGTGTGAGCATGCCGCGGCTTGTCAGGTGAACATGGAGAAGCCTGACCATTCAGCTGATGTGTTGGATTCTCAGACGTGCTTCACACGAAGCCCGGGGTCCTTGGACCCACACAGGAGCTATACAGAACAGCGGCTGTGAGAAGGGAACCCACTACTTGAGACCAATCTGAAGACCGGTACGCCTGAATAGATCTGAAGCATCAGGTTGTTTGGTTCATGAGATCTTCCCAAACCGGAGATGTATTCTACAGCGCAAGAGGTCAGGTCGCTGTTGGTCGCTGTTGCTCGGTGTCTCTCGCCCTGAGGTCCAAACAGAGAAAGCCCAAGACCATGCTCGGTGGCATACAGCCTTGGGCTGTGGGTGCGGGTGCCCAGGGCCAGGGTGATGGAACGGGTGGCACGGTTGAGCCAAAGAGGACCAGACTCGGGCACTCAGGTGACCATGACTTTGGGTGCACTCCAGGGTGCAAGGATTGGGGAAGCACATGTCTCTCTTCCGCATTGGTTTGGCACTCCTTTTTGCAGGGTGTTGGGCTCAACAGAGCAACTACTACTTTATCCTTACTGTCCCTTTCACAGGGACGAAGGTCATGACTTCGGTGGGCCGTGTGGACGTCGACGGCGACCTCGACGGCCGGGCCGCCGCGGGGCCTTTGGGTCCCGAGCGGGTCGAACGCGGCGGTCCTGGCGGAGGAAGACCTCGCGTTCGATCGTCACGTCCGGAGTCGCGTAGAGCTGCAGAATCTTCGGATCTTTTGGAGAATCCTTCCATGAAGCACTGATGTGCCCTGAAGAGGCGAGCTTCTTTGGATCTGTGAATCCAAGCAACCGTCTGACTATCTCTGTCATTCTGTCTGGGAACAGAAACGCAGTATAAGTTCATGAATCTCGTTTGGCTCTCAACCGCTACGTTCTGAGCGGAGTTCTTTTGCACATCAAGAAAAGCACCGGCCATGCCAATGCTTTTCCATTCTGCTACTGCTACCGTAATTCTTGACTCACTTTTTCCCTGGGGGAATCTTTCCATGGCCACTTAAACCAATCAAGACCCGTTTAGATTTTCCCATTTTTCACTACCTTCCTATCCCTTCCTGTTGTGCCCTTAGCAGGCGCCCCTTTTCGAGCGGCCTCCACGTCTTCCAAGGCGCTGCAAGCTGTGGAGTGGTCCTCCTTTGTGCAGGCGCCTGGTGTCTTTGGCACCAGGCACAGGAGGCCGACAGACCTTCGTGACAGACCTTCTGGGACCGTCAAGGACCAGTTGTAAACTCCAAGCTCCATAGGCTCTTGGGCTGTAAACAACCATGGGATGTACCCGGGACCCCCACGTCCATGCCACTTAAGAAGAGCTGTAAACAACCAGCTTTTCACCATGAGATTTCACCGATCGCTCCCGGCGCTCCTCGGCCCGATGCTCGAATGGACGACGCTATCGCTCATCGCTCAGTCGCTCGGAATCGCTAGGAGGCTCGGATCCTCCAAGCGCACAGCCAGAGACTCGAAGAAACGCACACAGCCACCGGGTCGTGTGAGTCGAAGCCCGGTTTGAAGGGTTTTGGATCGTCGAGTACTTGGAGACCGAGTTGAACATCGTTGAACCCTCTAGAAAGCAACGATGCGCATCATAGTTTCACCTGCATTTGGTTCGAAGGCCGGCGCGTTTGGCATTCCCGCGCGATCTAGGCGAGTCCCCCCTGGGCCGAAGAGGTGCTAAGGTCAAGGCGACCAAGGTGGGGAGAGTGGGGAGAGTGGAACACATGCAGGAAGTAGCTGGCAGTGAGTCCATTCGAATTCAGCGGACATGTCTGATGTGTCTGGGAGGGTTGGTTTTGGTTGGCTGGTTGTTGCGTCCCGAATTCACCAAATACGATTTTTCTTTTTGCACGATTCTGTCCATCCTGGTCGTGCACCGTTTCGCCTTGGCGTCAACGTCGAAACAGGTCGAAAGCCACGGTTTCCCGTGCGCCCCGTCCGATCTTGCAAGCCTTTCTTTTCAAGGCTCGTTATCAATCTGTTTAAAAGACGGATCGTTTGAAGTGGTCTGAGCTTTGGGCCATGGCGAAGATCAACCCTGCGGACATCTTTGCCAAAGACTGGAAGGCCCCGGCGCGGGCGGAGTTCGATGCCTTCATGATGTCGTAGACGCACGTGACTCGCAGGAAGTCGTAGAGCCAAGTTCGTTTGGCACGGTCAGGGGCATTCAGGGGCCGGGCCTTTGACATCTCAAGTGTACAATCAATAGGTGTACCAAACCGAAAGGACATCATTGGAGTCTGCTGTTTTTTTCGTTGTCAGCTCGATTGCGCAGTGCAAAATGGGACAGACAGCGGCACTTGTCATGACGAAACACAGACAGAGCAAGTCAGGTGTCAGAGACTAAGACTAAGATATGTGCATCATGCAGACAGTTACTGTATTCAGGCTATTCAGACATTCTTGCGACATCACTGGCTTGAGATGGTCGGAAGCTCCAAGACTCTTGACCAACAAAGCTCAAAATAGTTGGGTCCTATTCCTGGCATTCCGGAGAGAGGACTCACATCCACACCGACCGACCACAGCGCTCACCGACCGACGTCTGAAGACGTTCGCCTCTATGAACTCCGAGTTCGCATGTGGAAGAGCGAACGGCTGAAACTGATCACATGTGGTGAATTGAGTGTTGTGGCCGTTGTGTTTCGTGTTTATTCCCCCTAGGCGCTAGCTGAGGATGAAGCTTCTTTAAGTTCGCTAAATCCTTTAGTGACGATCTATTTGCAAGACTCCAAGCAAAACGCAAAAGGTCAAAAAGTTAGAAACGTCAAAAAGTCAAAATAAGTCAAAAGGTAAAGGAAACGACAGCACGCAGCGAGACATCTGACTTTTTTGACTTTTCTCACTTTTCGAGACTTTTGACTTTTCGACTTTTCGAGATGTTTGGACACCAGTCACATGCCGTGCCCTTCAACAAGTGTAGCAGCTAGCAGAATTATGCAGAATTGATCCAATTGTTGCTTTTGCTCCCATAGACAGAGAGAGGATCTGGAGGTCAAAACACGCAGCCGCGATGACCTTCAAAAAGAGACGCCCGCCAAAAGGACCCGGCCAGCCCCGGGACCTTTTGGCGATTTGGCGGGTGACTCTTTTTATCATCGTTCCCTTTTCGACTTTTCGCAAAAAGTTCGGAGAGCAAGTAGATCCAGCTCACACATTTAGCCACAGGAACTTCTGCCCAGCTCCCAATTGTCCTCAATCAATTCAGGATTCCGAACGAACTCAGAAAGTAAGACTGATACACCAAAAGATGGTTGATGATGGTGGTATAATCATATCGAGGTCCAAAAACCAATTGCTAGGAACTGTTTTTGGTTGGAGGCCTTCCAGAAAGTCGTCGAGGAAGTCCCAGAGGAGTTGCTTGGGAGGAGAGGCCACAAGGCCAAGAGTTGTTGGCTTTGCAATGAACCATTTGGTTTTGCTCCAGGCGATTCTCGCTTTGTCCCAGCTGTGAATGCCCCCCAAATGGGGAAATCATTTTCCTGCTTGCAAAGAGCTGTGAAGGGGTGGGAAGATGTGGCAGGAAGTGGACGATGTGGGGGCCCAGGGGTGGACGCCTGGACAACCCACGGTCATCCTACATACTAGATGTGTGTGTTTTTTCCTGCATGGAAACCGAGGTAAACATATTTTGTGTATAGTTTATATATGTTTATATATGCTGATATATCATAACATCTTGGAGTTTATGCTTTGCCCGTGTGTAAAACCCACTGAGATTCGGGTGCGGTCCGTGGTGCTCGAACAACGTTGGGTCGTCACATGTCACAGGTTGAAGAACATGGCATTTGACTTGATGTATAAGCATTGTCGCGTGAGGTCCTCATGAGGTTTAGATACCACCAAAGGACCAGTTTCAGGAGTTCTGGGATGTGCAAAGCCTGTTTAGAGCTCCGCAACGTTGTTGCGGTGTTTCTTTTTGATGGAGCCAGCGACCTTGACCCAGAGCGAGACACTCACAGGCGACAGTTAGGACAAAGGAGTGGTCTCACCACTGGAACAATAGATTTTCTTCAATAAAAGGAGGTTCCAAGGCGTGAGGTGCCCCAATCCCCTTATGTCACCTGCAAGACACTGACCTCACACGGTCGAGCCCCACGGAGACTGGGACTAACTACTGGGACTGGTTTGGATGTCGGATGTTGTGTGCGAAAGTGAAGCTCCATGTGTCACCCAGCAGACTTGGTCGTTGGTGAAAAAAAGACCACGAACCTTCATGAATTGAACTAGGAGGTGTTGTGGATTGAAACAGCAGCCCTGGCATGTTTTCTGCAGCTGTACACAAGTAACCGGTGCTTCAAGAGGTAGGTCTTGGGTCTGTCCTAGTACCTGTAACAGTCAGCAATCAACTATTTTTGAACAAGGCCGTTACTAACCATCATCATCCACTGTTACAGGTATTAGGATAGACCCAAGGTAGGTCAAACTGATTTGAATAGCACCTAGAGGCACCCGGCACCTTCTGCAAACCCACGAGACCGTCGGTCAGCCTGGTCCGGTACACCACCCCCGCGCATTTGTCTTTAGGTTCGAGAAGCTGATCGAGCGCCGCCGAGCAGCACTGGATCGGAAGGCGGAGAAGAACTTGCTCACCATCCCCATGGAGCCGCTGGGGCGCCGAAGCGAACGAGCGCCGCCGAACGAACGAACGCCGGAGCGAAGCGAAGCGAAGCGAAGTCTTCGCTCACGAAGCCTGAGCCGCGTTCTGTATAAAGTGCTCCAACTGGGGTTGGGAGTCCGTTTTTCTCTCACGGGAGGGACCTGGGAAACTGGAGGGACGCATCAAAACAGGCCGGGAGATTGGAGGGGTGCTGTGTGGTGTCTTATTGGGGTGAACAGCCGCAGAAACCTCAAATGTTCAGGTCAAACCAGAGTCGAAAGCTTCAGAGGGCTTGACCATCCAAAGGATCTCAAAGGATGCCAGGCCATGGCTAGTAGGTTGGAGGCCAACGCTAGTAGGAAGGATTCCAAGGCTAGAGCAAGAAAGGTCCAGGTCTGCAGATCGAAAGGGCACACCGGACGACTTCAGCGCTGTTTCTTTTAATTCTTTTCGCGCGGACGACGCGTTGACTTGGTGGCCCCATTGGTTCATCCGCTCTGAACGAGAGAAACGCTGGTTGTTTTTTCTCAAGTGGGTGTGTTTGTTCAGACGAAAACTGTTGCTTTTCAGTAACTTTTGTTTTAGCGCCCTCTGCCCCCCCCACCCCCTATACCACTTATATATTTAAGTTGGCGCCGACTCAATGAAGATAATGAAGTAAGGGCTAAGTTAGCTTCTACGTAGGATGCACTCATGCACTAATCATTTCATTCCTAGATTTGTAGGGAAACTTGTTGGAAAAAGAAACACCATGAGGTTGATCCACT